GATTCCCATAACCGCATTGTATTCACCGGCTTTGTCTAACTCGCGCATTTTCCCGATCTTCCTTGTTCCACTCCCCATTGAACCTCCAATTGCAATGTGAAACTAGTTGAGTTTAATGGGACTAACAGTGGGAAATCAAACGATTCATTCAACAGATAGCAGGCAGGCCATCAATAAAGTTGCTTTTACAACTGGTCGCCGTTGGTTCATTAAAAAATCATTAAAGTTCGAATGAAAAACTCCACAGCCAGAACAATCAAGGCCGTTCAAACGTTCGTATCATGACCAGGAATCGATAGACAGACTGTTGATGCATTGAAAACTTGTTTATTCCATCGTATGAATGCATATGGAGCCAATTATTGTCCGTATTTTTAAGCAGCGATTCTCGGTAACCATAATATTCATCTCGGTTAATGGGAAATCAGTCAGTAGCCAGACAGACGAGCATATCAAAGGGAAACAAACGGTCATACGCTAATTAATGTCGAGTCTCTTACAATTCAATCTGTTAACGAGATCTGTTATTTTCCAGATCGGCTGTAAAAGGCCATTGAGCCGATGATTTCTGCAGGAGTAGAAGGACGACTGCCCTACATGACATACTCCGAACCTTGGAGCCGAAGCCCTCCGAAACCATCATCAGAGGTGTTTCTTAGGCCCGCCCCCAAACTGTTACCTCCGGCCACAAGGTAAATTACAAACACATTGGGGAAAACACACCAGATTACCTACATAAAAACTTGAGAGATTCCTACTGCTTGAATTGCAACATTTACAACCATAAACCGTTGGGGATGAGTGATTGACATTGTTATTCTTCTCCCCCAGATGTACTCAGGAACAAACAACAATATTTCTTCCTTACAGAAGTTACAATGGAATGCCGGCAACCACATACCCGAATGGTACTAGAATAGCCCCATCCAGGCCGATTAGCAAGTACCCATCGCCGCCTCCTGCGGTTCCCGTCAACCTCACGCAGCCGAAGGAAGAGCCGAAAGAAGAGCCGATGTCGCCGTACTCGCCCTACAGATTATTCCAGCATCCGGCCCAATACTCCACGTTTCCCTATCCTTCACTATGCCAACAGCCTTACATGTTGCGGCCCAGTTTCCCTGCCACTCCGCTAAGTCCGCAGGAGATGTTCTCCCCGGCGACACCAACGGCTAGCGGGGCTGCAACGTTTCTATCTCCGCCGGCCACCTTCAGTCCGCCGTCTTCCATCGTCAAGCACAGTCAAGGCGGAATGTTGCGAAGGGAGAAGAGGAATTCGCCAGTTACATCCACTGCTCAGTCGGCTGTTCCTCATTCTCCTCTTCCGCAAAGTCCCAGCTTCAAAGTGCCGTCCGGCAAAGAGGGCTCGATGAAGCACCGATTGTTAACGCGACCGGAAGACGCCGCCCGAAGCATGCCTCTGGATCTTCAAAAGCCGCAGGAGGGACGCAAAAGACTCACGGCCACCATATCGCCACCAAGATCGCCGAAGAAGCAACCCACCCCAGCGGCTATTCATTTTCAAAAGGGCCTGCTGGTATCGTTGACCAATGGCGAAGTCAAGCGGATTGAAGATATGAGGACGGAGGATTTCATCAAATCGGCCGAAGAAAACCCGGCCCTCCGACTGGCTGAAAGCACCGTGGTGAAGATTAACGAAGGAAAAGACGGACATGTTACCATTACGCTAGCCTACGACCAGATGAGGGAACAGGTAATTACACTTTCAATGGACAAATTCGGTGTTTTGCGCCGCTCAAAATGCATAAATGCAACGAAAAATGTAAATACCTGGACTATTGCCGTTCATTGCGTTAAGTGTTACGAAATGTGACCAATTTACCTTTCGAGTCATGGTCAAATTTTCATACTGGCGCCAGCATAAATTTCACCGTCACAGATGACATGCCCACGCATTTGGATTTTTTCTCTTCACTGCAGAAAGTTCTTCGAATTGCAACCTTTAAAGCGCCAATTGGGTCAACAAAAATTCACAAACAACATTCGGCGTTCGCACTCGGTGCAGTTTGTCCTCATTTTTACTGATAAAATGTACTTGGACTTAGTAAGAACCCAGCAGAGCATGGTTTTTTCGTAACAAATTCCAGAAAAAACTGTTTAACTACTAATGAATAAAATGTGGTGTGGCATCTGTAAAAGTACTGATGCTTCCCGGTTAAAAACTTCTCAAAAATAACCTGATGATGGCTCGGAGTCGAAACTTTGGCCACTTACAAAACGGACTTTGCCCTAAAAATTCTTTCAAAAGTCTAACTAGTTGCTGAGAAATTAACTGTGAAGCCCCGACCTGCGACAACCAGCACGAAATCCAAAGGAAATTCAAAAACATTTCTGTCGTTAAGTTTTAAAAAAATTTGGAAATAGCCTGACGATGAATCAAAATCCAAACACATTTAGAATCGACTGTCTTCTCAAGGTTGGGAAAATTTCCAGACGCCCCTTGCTTTAGTTTGGAAGAGAAACATTTTTCTAGTAGAGATTGCAGATGTCCAAAAACCATCATTTTTGAGCCTCAAATTTGTCAAGCTGGAAAAAATCAGGATTTTATGCGTTTCTGCTTAGACTTTCTGCGTCAATAGTACCGAGTATCTTCTAAAGATTATTAAAGTTTCAAATTCTCCCTGGCATTCTTTTGGATGATGCAATTTTTTAAAAGAGTGGAGTTGGAAGTGCAGTTGACTTGAAACCTCAATTCTAAGACTCGCATTTATCAAGCCGGAAAAAATCAGGATCTTGTGCGATTTTTACGAAACTCCGCATCTTTAGAGTGAAGGGTCGTTGCAAGAAGGCGAAAATTTCAAATTATTCGTTGCATCAATTTGGAACACACAAGATTTTAAAACTGAGAGCGCAGGGGACCGAAAACTTCAATTTTGAGACTCAGGTTTACAAAACCGGAAAAAATCTGGATTTTGTGCTATTTGAATGAATCTTACAGCATGTTTGGTGTCAAGTGTCTTCTAGAAAATGCAAAAAAATCAAACTGGTTCTTGCTTCACTTTAGAAGATACGAATTTTTTGAAGGCGAGAACGCAGTTTACGGTAAACATAAATTTTGAGAATCAGATTCATCAAGCTAGCAAAATCAGGATTTGGTGCGCTTTTTGCGTCATTTTTCGCATTTTTAGAGACGAGGGTTCTGAAACTGAGCCAAAAATGTCAAATTGTTGCTTGTTTTAGTTTGGAAGATACGGTGTGTTAAATAAGACTGTGTAGTTGTCCAAAACCAGCCATTCTGAACCTCAGATTTATCAAGCTGGCAAAAATCAGGATTTCGTGCGTTTCTCATGAGATTTTCTGTAGCTTTCGGCACGAAGCATCTTTTAAAGATTGTGAAAGTATCAAATTTTTCCTTGCGGCAGTTTGGAAGACCCGATTTTTTAAATGAGACCGCGCAATTGGCGCAAATTTTCAGTCTAAGATTTTGCAACTGGGAAAAATCAGGATTTTGTTCGATTTCAATCAAACTTACAGAATGTTTAGAGTCGAGTGTTTTCTAAAAATGATGAAAATTTCAAATTGGTTGTTTCTCCATTTTGGAAGAAACAAAATTTTTAAGGCGAGAACGCAGTTGACTGAAACATCAATTCTGAGACTCGCATTTATCAGGCTGGGAAAATTCAGGATTTTTTGCGATTTTTACGAGTCTTTCCGCATCTTTAGAGTTAAATGTCCTTGCAAGAACGTGAAAATTTCAATTTTGACGCTCTGGTTTTCAAAACCGGAAAAAATTTGGATTTTGTGCCATTTGAATGTAACGTACAGCATGTTTGGGGTCAAGTGTCTTCTAGAAATGCAAAAAAAATCAAATTGGTTCTTGCTTCAGTTTATGAGATACCAATTTTTTGAAGGTGAAAACTTAAGCGTGCATAAACAATCACAAACTTTTATTACAAACTTATGACTGATGAAACCACAAGAATGAGCTGAAGTTGACTCAACATTGACACGTTTTCCTCGAATAGAACGCATTTTGTCCTACAAAATACACCCGATAGTGAATTTCCAATTTCACTGGTATCCGAAAAAATAAACGCCAAACTCAAGCCTGCATAAACAGCCTCAAAATTCCATCGCACATTCAAAAAATCTGGAAAATAGCCTGATAATGACTCAAAATCAAAACTTCTACATATGAAACAGACTATGGTCAACAAATTCCATACAAACGGCACCCTCTAGTTAAGTAACTGTTAAACTGCGGCCTGAAAGTTCCCTAAAGATGATTAAAAATCGAAACTTTTTCCGCTTATAGAACAAACTTTGCCCTATAAACGTGAAGCAAAAGTGATTATCTCCCACTTTGAGAAAGTCTTGAAAATGGCCTGATGATGAGACAAATTCGAACTTTTGATCACTGATAGAAGGGACCTTGCCCCACAAAAGACCCAAAAATTGGCTTCGCAAGAAACAGCCCAAATAAATACTAAACAGCGTGCAAAATGAGTGAAGCCTGCATCTTCAAACGGCATCGCTTGGGCGCGTTGCCGCCCCCGCCCAATTTAATGTAAAAATGAGACGAGTTTTATTGGAAAATACTCCCAAACTTTCTCACTCAGACTTTGTTGGATGCGAATCGTGAAAAATCGCCCATTGATTTGGGCTGAATGAAGTTCAACTCTGCTGGTTTCTCTCGACTCGGATCGAGAAGATCCAATTGTTGCCTAGTCGCCATTCAAAGACAGGTTAAATGCCACCTACCTACTTAAGTGAGGTAAACGTACTCACTGAAATGAAGTCACAGTGCTCACCGATCACCTGAGGCAAGGTTTGGCAAGGTCGGTGACCAATCTTGTCGATTTTCGATTCAGAACCACTTTCTGTTCGCATCCTCTTGCTTCTTTGCCCCGGTCGTTTATTGCCTTTTCATTGCTACCCATATTTTGCATGCGCGTTTCTTCAACGTCGATCTGCTACCGGAATTGTGCGTTCTACTTAAATTTAATTATGGTGTGGCTTAAGAGCCATTACCATTACATGTGGGTTGGAACTGAGCTGTTTTACTGCTTGGAAAGATTAGCGAGGAAACATTGAACTTCCAAGAGGACTTATTTGGTTCGAGTTGGTTTGTTGATGAACATCCACCATTGGAGTAAAGCTCTCCCGTGAAAGCAAAACAACGATGTTCAAAGGAGAAATTGGCTTGAAGCTCGGTTGCCAAGTTCTTTTTTTAGATGCTTTTGAATGGAAATAGTCGCGATCAATCATCGAAAACACAGTGGGCCGAAGCATCTGAGTCCCGACTTTATCTACAAACCCATTCCAACATCTCATTCACAATGAAAAACATGTTGCAGCCGAAAACTGATTAAATCATCCCACAGTGTCGAGTCGTAACTTTCAGCTCGAAAATAAGCCTGGCAGAATGAATAATTTGAAGAATGCCTTAATCACCGGGTTTATTTTTTCATTCTGAAGCGTTTGTATATATAGTGCCAGCATACTGAGATACGTTAATACTACTGGCAAACATTTACTCTTTGCTAAAAATAGTTCGTCATTCTGGCGATGCTTGTTTCCTTTGTTTATTTTACGAGTCAAAACAAATAGACCTTACGTTACTGGCTGGATAATCGAATCGAATTGATAAAAATACTATTTTATGTGGAATTCTCCCGGCAAATAAACTTATCGGGAATTGGATTTCTCTTGCGTTCTTTTCCGTCACGATGAGCTCCAATGCCAGCAATAAATTAACTGCAAATGTTGTTCCCTCACTGTGTTTTCCAGTGGAGGGTTTTATCTAAATCCTTTCAGTCGCTAAAAAACCGGTGTGTTTGTCGCTCAAATTACAACGTCCGATAAGAACAGCAGCCAGCAACAAACACCACAAACTTTTATCGTGGATTGCATTACTGCATCTATTGGGCGCGCCCGTGTGGCTAGTTTAAAATAATTTCCCAACAACAAACGCCTAGGTATCATGCTAATTGAATTATCGGCGTTCTTCATTACTAGATTTACCGTTCGGCTCATTTGTTATGGAACAGCCATCATCAGGGATAAGATATTACTCCCCGAATATTAATGAAGGTGGCGTGAAACAACGGCAAAACCAAGCACAAATTGAGATGTGACCACTACAATAGATTCGTCTTGTTTGGGCAAAATGTCAGCGACCTCGGCGATTTTAATGCCAACACGATTTTGGGTGGGTTTTTCAAGTGTTCAGTCAATAAGGACACGTGGGATCTGCACGTCCACGCAGTGTTCAGTTTCGGATTAACAATATTTGCTTTGTAACGTTTCAAATTGTGTCTGAAAGGCAAATAAAGCATGTGCGGCTTTTCCAAGGTGGTCCCGCATTTAAATCCATTTATGTCCATCGGATGGTTGATGTTGACCCAAATGTATTTACCGAGTCCCTTTTCTTTAAACATTAATATCTAAAATTATTCTGCCAGTATTTGAAAATGTTTTAAAAATCTACTCAAACCCGCCAAAGAAATCAAGCGTTGAGACATTATAGAGTGAAGTTTGCTCTATTTAAGAGTGTTTAAAGCGGTCCTCTATCTCTGCTGGTTTCTTCGTGGTAAATTTTTCCCGAAGCGCTTGGCGTATTTTCTTGTCTTAAAACCGCTCTTATCGCAAGGGCGGATCCCCCCCATTCAATTCTCCATCCAAAGATGCCAAAACGAATTCTGTGGCTC